GATTCGTAGATATTGCTCGGAGCCTCGTGCCTACAGCCAGTGTCCGAAGGCCAAGATGGACATCGATTTCCGAAAGCCCAACACAAATGCAAAATGCGCAAACTGCTCCGGACCACTTGGGTCCAGCAGTGCAGAGAGACAATGAAAACAACCATCAAAGAGAACTTACCCTATAAAGAAGATTAAAGAAGATATGAGGCACCCAGGAGCAACACCTTGCTGGGCAAGTCTAGACTTCAAGATCAAATAGGACTTAGTGCACTTAAGACTATGGCTGCAATTGACATAGAGCAGAGAATGCTTTTCACACTATATCAGCACCTGATCCTGTCAGTGGTGGATTATGGCCTGGGACTGCTTACCGTCTCAAAGAGTCAGATGGACAAACTAGAGCGCATACAGAACGCGGCTATGTGGGTCATTCTTGGTTGCACCAGAGACACCCCAGTGGTGTGTATGCGATACATCCTTGGTTTGCCGACGGTTGCAGGTAGGCACAAGGTGATGCAGGCGAAGTCATATCTCAGGGTAGCTGCAGACACAGACCACCCTCTGCACGAAGCTCTGGGTGCAGTTAAGGGTCAGCGGCTGATAAGAGGGAGGTCATGGATGGCTCAGGCAGAAGACACAATCAGACAGGTTTGCATCCTTGACAACATTAGGCGAGGAGAGGAGTGGGTCAAAGTGCCACCTGACCAGTCAGACTTGTGTAGAGTCATAATCACGCTGAGCCGGGAATGCAGAGACTGGCCAGCAGGTGCCACAGAGGTGGAAATTCAGCAATTAATTCAAGATAATGCTCGCTCAGAGGATTTGATCATTTACACAGACGGTTCAGTGTCAAGAGGCAAAAGAAGTGCTTGGGGCTTTTTAGCAAAAGTTAATGGTCGACGTTTGGTGCAGCAGCGCCTAGCATATGATACCACAACACTGAAGCTTTCCGCTGGCTAGAGAACACGACACACACACACATATTGTAATTGTAACTGATTCAGAAAGCATGATGAGGAAGATCAGAACAGGCATGCTTCGTGCAGAGTGGCATGCTTCGCTGCGGAGAACACGAGTGAGGAGTATTGTCTGGATTTTTTCACCGGGTCACGCCGGTGTGTTGGGAAATGAACAGGCGGACAGACTGGCTGGCTCTGCACAACTTGGTGGAATACAGCTACATGATAGGGCAGACGTGGTTAGTGCCTTGTGGGAGAGCGTGTACAATGCGGAGGAGCAGATGGATCACCACAGTTTGGTGAGATTGGTGCAGTTGGGGGTGACGAGAGGTTCTGGCAGAAGCTCAAGGCTCAGAGGAAAGGCAAGACGGACATTTAATCAGAAAGCTACTGGCACCATTAGTATCGGAACTCTTCGCTGGCTGCTGAAGATGGAGACGGAGCGCTTATGGGAATGACCTGGGTGCTGTGATGTCGGTTCTTGAATCAAATCAAATCAATCAAATAGACCAGTTGAATAGTGATATCCACAATCTCCGACATCAAAAACCAGCTGGCGACTTACAGAGCGCACACATACGAAGAGAGATGGAGGAGACGAGATATATTGAAAACTACATTAGAAGTCCAAAGACAGGTAGCGACCGAGGCAACATTAATGCAAGATGTTCGACACTAACAAAGGAACAAGAGAGGAAATTAACCACCTGTGAGATGAGATATTTAAGAATGTCTGTGGATAAAACCAGAAAAGATCAAGCGAGAAACTGTGTGATCACAAGAACCGTTGGAGAACACCCATCGTCAAATTGATTGAGAAACAAAGAATTACATGGTCTGGCCATCTAATGAGAATGAAACCAATAATGCCAGCAGCAAAAGCACACAACATGAAAGTAGAAACACCAAGATGCAGGGGAAGACCGAGAAGAATATGGTTTGAAGGAGTCACTGACACATTGAGACTGCATAACACCACGGCTTTTCAAGCGACCGAGCTCGCCCTGGCTCGGCTGCCGATGTTCTGACGAATTGCGACGTCTAGCGGCAAAAGCAGATATTGACAAAAGAAGAAGGTGTATAGATTGATTCCAAAAATAATTTGTCGACATAAATTTATGCAACTGTTACTTCCGATATTCGGATCCAATAGAGCTTAATTGGGTTTACGTCTTAACACTACACCAAAATAAACGTAACCTAAATTTAATCCAAATACAATACCTAATCTAGCTTGATTATCTTTCCGAGGGTGCTCCTAATATAAGCCTAACAACAAATATAATCCCTTGTTCAGATCGCTAGGCAGATGGAAGGATTTCGTTCGTCCGATTAAACATGCAACGGGCGTATTGATTTATCAAGTAATGAATTTATAAACAGGTGAAAAATCATTTTATTATTGACATTATTGTTTGAAAAAGTATTATCCTAATTCAACTATATATTTGCAATTTCCCAAACACCCCATGTTAAAAAGACCTAATCTTTCTTTTGGAGCAAAATGTATTATAAGACCCGGTCTTAATAACACACTATGTCCATTAGTTGTTGCCCAGTGACACCTCTGTAACTCCAAAACTTGGCCCACAAAAGTAACCAAGACTCGGAAACTAGTGTCGTCTTTACCATTTTAATTATTATAACAGTAAACAAGGCTTATTTATTAGTGTTAATGTGAAATCTAACACATGGTGCAAGCTTGTCTTGAGTGATTGAATCAACACTATACCAGGAACAACAGCTACCTAGAGGGCACAAATTCCAACAGGTATGCATGGCAGCACGTGATGGCGTTACCGCGCTCCGACTACCGAAACTGTCAGCAACTTGTCTAGCGCTCATTAATCAGCTGGCATTTTTAACTTTATGACGGGGACTGACCAACGTTGACAGGTAATGTTTAGCACTCACCGACAAGAACAACGAACATGAACCCGGTCACACAGAGGGTATAATAATGTACTTGGACCCAGTCACATACAAGGTATCACAACATATATGAACCGAGTCACGCAGAAGGGCTTAGCAATGTACGTGGACTGAGTCACGCAGAAGGACATAGCAATGTACGTGGACTGAGTCACACGGAAGTACATATCAATGTACGTGAACTGAGTCACACAGAAGGTATCACACCATATATGAACCAGTTCACACACAGTGTTACATAGTCCGAGCCAGAAATAAGACGTAATGTACGTGGGCCTAGTCCCACAGAAAACATAACAATGTACATGTTCTGAGTCATACAGGGGCGATAACGACGAAGATAGTGCTGTCGCTATATGCAATAAGTAAAGGACCCGCGTCTGTAACGAACAGAATAAAATGCCAAACTCATACTTTTTTATAAGACTTATCAGCATTCAATGGGTGATGTGAGCAACATCACAAAATCACATATACTCTCCATGACATTTCTACTACCCAGCTGAGGCTCCACTTGCCTGGGAGACAATGCTAGTTATTAAAAATATGCTTCGATCAGACTCAAACCAAAGATCTTCAAGTTGACAGGCAAAACGAGCAGCTCTTTTGGAACTAGCCTTTCATTAATGTGACTCTTTTTTAACTTGAATGATCTAGTTTATGGCGTCTAATATCTTTGTGCAAAGATCATAAAAACACCATAGAACAGGGAACTGGTGGGACAACTATGGGACAAAGAAGATGGTGACATATTTATTGTGGACATCCCCATAAGAGGAAAACAGAAAATCACTATAGGCTTTTTCCATTCATCCATTCATGTAAAACAAGACACACAAATCGACCACGTTCAACCTACTGCAAGCTGTATCAGTTTTAATCGTGTGCCAATTATGTTGAAGTGTTAATTGCACCAAAATTGCACCTCCGGGCTTGAACCGGTACTCTAGTACTTACGGAGGATTGTTGGGATTCGGGTTAGGGCTTGTATGTATTTTACACAAACACACATATATAGACATGCATGTGGAATTACATATATGTACATGACATACACATCTGCACATCCACTTGGAAATGCACGTATACGTGTTTGCATGAACACACATGTATATACACACACGCGTGCACGCCCACGTGGGCATGCATGTATACGTGTTTGCATAAACACACATGCATATATATATATATATATATATATATATATATATATATACACACGCGCGCGCGCGCGCATGCACGCCCAAGTGGAAATGCTTGTAAACGTGTCTGAATACACCAGCTCTGTAATGGAACACAAATGGACCAAGGACAAGAAGACGTTTAACAGAAAACACAATACATCTGCTGGTTAGAGAGGGACATGTTCTGGATAAGGTTCCAACTTTTTCCAGAACATGTCCCTCTCTAACCAGCAGATGTATTGTGTTTTCTGTTAAGCATTTCCACTTGGGCGTGCATGCGCGCGCGCGCGTGTATATATATATATATATATATATATATATATATATATATATATATATATATATATATGCATGTGTGTTTATGCACGTATACATACATGCCAACGTGGGCGTGCACGCGTGTGTGTATATACATGTGTGTTCATGCAAACACGTATACGTGCATTTCCAAGTGGATGTGCAGATGTGTATGTCATGTACATATATGTAATTCCACATGCATGTCTATATATGTGTGTTAGTGTGTATAATACATACATACGTTTAACAGAAAACACAATACATCTGCTGGTTAGAGAGGGACATGTTCTGGATAAGGTTCCAACTTTTTCCTCTTCGCATTCACAGGCTATAAACTCCAGGTGTAAAGTTATGGTTGTTCGTCCACCTTTGGACATTAGTCTTGTTCCACACCCGTGCACATCCGTTTTACAGATCCGACTTACATGTATGCAAGTTGTTAGTTCCTTGCCTCTTAGGCAGATGTGCTTCGACTTCGACGGAGGTTTTGGATTGTTTGCCCTTCTTTTGTCAGTCCCATTTTTTTTTTCTAAGTTGTAAAAGGGTGCGTGGGTGTCTTGTCGTGTATTCAAGGGCGGCGCCACCTGAAAAAGGCTGAAAACAACAGGTTTAGAGAGAGTTAACGTTGACTTACAGAGGAGATTAGACTTGGTTCCGTTGGCTGAAATTTTCTTTTTAAAATCCATCTGGACCGGCTTGTCGGAGCAGCGAGAGATCAGCGCGTAGCGTTTGATGAGAGGTGGGCTACTTATAACGTTGTGTTGGCTGTAAGTACCAATAGGAGAGTTCGATCCTGATAAACTGCAACCAACCTGGAAATACAAACCGAAGTGTGCATCAGTGTCAATGTATGGACGACTGTAACAATTTGGAATCAGTGGCGTACTGGCTAGGGTGGCAGCTAATAGGGATACTTGTTAGATAGTAATACATAGCTAGAAAAAAAGTTGCGGGGAGGGGGGGGGGGGGATAAATAACACTAACTTTCAAGGATACTTGTTAGATAGTAATACATAACCAGAAATAAAAGGGGGGAGAAATATGGTTCTGCTGTAAGGTGTTTTATATTAAGACTCAGTTTTCACTCAGTTCGCCACTATTTTCACTCAGTTCGCCACTATTTTCACTCAGTTCGCCACTATTTTCACTCAGTTCGCCACTATTTTCACTCAGTTTTCACTCAGTTCGCCACTATTTTCACTCAGTTCGCCACTATTTTCACTCAGTTCGCCACTATTTTCACTCATTTCGCCACTATTTTCACTCAGTTTACACTCAGTTCGCCACTATTTTCACTCAGTTCGCCACTATTTTCACTCAGTTCGCCACTATTTTCACTCAGTTTTCACTCAGTTCGCCACTATTTTCACTCAGTTCGCCACTATTTTCACTCAGTTCGCCACTATTTTCACTCAGTTTTCACTCAGTTCGCCACTATTTTCACTCAGTTTTCACTCAGTTCGCCACTATTTTCACTCAGTTCGCCACTATTTTCACTCAGTTCGCCACTATTTTCACTCAGTTTACACTCAGTTCGCCACTATTTTCACTCAGTTCGCCACTATTTTCAACCAATGTATTCTGATTTCTCGCAGCACTCACTCAATACATTAAATGCAATATTTACACTTCGCATTACTCTGTTAACAATTTAGTTCTGACAATTGTTATCACAGCTGTGTGGACTGAAGAATAACAGTCTTTTGAGTTTTCAAAGGATTACAATAGCATAACCAAGATGTGGAATAAGTAAAAGCAATAACGCCGATACAATGTTTTTAACAGATCAGAAAAGTGGAACAGAAAAGATTTAAAATTAGTTTCTTGAAAACATATATCTAGAGACCGGTTGCCATACGAAAGCTATCGTGCAGTCTATATCTCCCTGTCTACCATTCAGCTTTGTCTTGATTATGTTTGGATCAGTTCAGATTGCTTCTTTGTTAGCAGCATACAGGTTATAGTAATGGAGCATATATGTGTTCAAAATGTCCTAGTGCCGTGTTGCACAGACACATCTCCGCGTTTCCTTCAGTGAAACATTTGAACATATGTTTGTAAAGTCTGTAGTCTTTTGTTCTTAGTCTGAATTTTTGTTGTGTCTTTCTCTGTGTTTATTCGAAGACGTCAATACGCTGTGCCTGTTTTTTTAAGTATTTAGAATCCATGAGTTGCAAACCCTTTGGCTCGGTACTATAGATATCGCAACCCTTCGTCCTGATTCCATGATAGATACCGTAAATCTGGGAGAAATTGGGCTTTTCTGCCTACCCCCTGGCGTAAACCCCGACCACAGGAAGTTCGTCACCCGGTCGCGCCGAGGGTTTTAAGCAACTGCGCTAGCGAGCCGGGCTGTGCCCCATTACTGCGATATTTGCACCTTGGGTTGACACGTGCGACTTCTGCAGGCATTCGATGTCTTGGCCAGTTTTCCCGGTTGGTCTGAATATGACACTGACCCTCTTTAAAGAAGCGCTTCAGAGGGGGACATTTCTTTTTGTGGCTGGACAGCTCTTAAAAATATTTCCGTGTCAAGATTCTTGATGAATTAAAAGACATGTTTTAGTTCCAGTTGTAGGACTTTTTGTATGTTTGTGTGTTGGGGCGGGGTGGATGGGGCGGGGGGGGGGGGGAGGCAACTCTTTATAACTCCCTATGTACTGAGTTAAGGATACACGAATAGCTTGCACCAAGGTTTGCGGTACTTATGAAGGTAGTGGGCAAGGGCTAATGGGCATATCATCAAGAGATGGACACACAACAGTCTGAGTTTAATCCAGTGCGAAAAGCAGATCGCGTAGGAGATCCACTGCAGCAAACCTTTACTGTGGAGACGGCACCTAATTATTTGAAACTCCTGGACACCAGAAGGACGACACTAAAACAAGCACGACTTATATATCTACCCGGAAGTTTTGAGCAAACCTAGTTCATGCGCTGGCTTTCCAAGAAAATGTTGCAGGGCCATCTCTGATAATACCCGTTTATCTCTGTGGGATGAATGATTGTGTACGTGACTGTTTGGGACTGTGTTGATCGTGAGTTGTGCTTCAAACATATCACGCGCAAACTCTTTATCAGTCACCTTCTACGACACGCTTGTCACGTGGCAGTGGTTTTCTCTTCTTCTTTCTCTTTTTCTTCTTCTTCCTCTTCTTCTTCTTCTTATTTTTCTTCTTCTTCTTTGCTGATGGCATAAGGTGAGAGGAGTTCTATGTAGTTTCTTAAGGTGTTGCAGAGAGGAGTTCTATGTAGTTTCTTGTCTGTTGCTAGTTGCATAGACTGTGTTAATGGCATATTATGTTTCTGCAAATGGCGCTGCGAGGAGTTACCAGGGAATCTGGCCGACGCTCAACACTCAAAGAAAGGATGACACGGATCAAGAATGAGACGGTTACTGGTACCATCGGAATTGGAACACTTCGCTTGTTGCTGAAGATGCGAACTGGGAACTTATAGGGGGTGTCCCGAGTGCTGTAATGTCGATTCTTAATTCAACATTCTACGTTTCTGCATTGTCTCTTTTACTCCACTTACATATTTCTGGATGGCTTCTTAACGGCTGTTCTTATGTAGTACAGTGTGGCTGTTGGCTGATTTTTTTCTCCATTCCGACGACCAGATAACGAAACCCTTTGAATCTTTCATGGTCTTTGAAATCATTTAGCGGTGCCAAAGCATGTGCGTTTAAACAATCAAATCCTCTAACGGCTGGCTTTGCCTATCCTGGAATAATTTCTCACAGCTCCACTTGTCGAACAGTCAGTTCAGTTTTCTCACAACAATGGGACGATTCTAGACAGAATAGACGGCAATGCAGCAACTCGCCACCCCCACCTCCTTACCAGCCCAGAATATGAATCTTCTTCTTCTTCTTGGCGTTCACCAGCTGTAAACTCTGGCGCAAAGTTCTGGTTGTTCATCCACTTCTGACTGCAGTCATGTGCCAAAACCTGAGTGCTGAGTGTGCATCCGTTTTACAGATCTGACTCATTTGTATGCAGACTGCTGGTTCGTTGCCTCTCAGGCAGATGCACTCCGACTTTGAAGGAAGGCCCCAATTAAGTCGACTCTCACGACATGCTTCTGGGTAGGCATTGTGTCTATTCTTGTTTTCCCTATAACAGGGCCCCGGATACGAATGAAAAGGCTTAACAGTTCCCATCAAGCCTAGGAATACTTATCAAGAAGCAAATCCTAATTTGCACATACAGTGGGTGGACGCATTCCAAACGTGTCTCTGGGCTAAAAGTGATCAGATAAGCAGGGAATATACACAGCTGAAGTTAATGCCAACACTAACAGCCACATTTAGTGCTAACGTCAAGACCACACAAACACACACAAACATATACACACACATACAGACATGCACATACACAAAAACATGTTTTCAAATCCAGGACAGTCAGGAAAAAAATCACAACAGTTTATTCAAGCCAGGCAGTTTTGGGAACATTTGTCCCTATGGCCTAAGATGTTATATTAACACATTTTGTAGAACGCATGATTTCCACTTTCTACCCAGGTCGCTCCCGGGACGAATTTTTTGTTATTTTAAAGCCCTGCCCAGGTTGTCGCAGGGGGCACTAATATAACTTAATAGTTCAAAAGGATTTGTGGGACCTCTCCACCAGTGATCCTCTTCCAAATAGTGGCACTTTGTGTCAATAGGTGTTTATCGCTGAGTGTTATGTCTTTGTTTGGTAAAAAGTCATTCATTATGGTAATTATAAATGTCCTCAGGGTGTTGAGTCGCCTCGAGGTACGGCGTCCGCCTTGAGCACTAGAGGTCTCGAGTTCAGGCTGGGATTTTTTTCCCAAACGGACTGCTAGTAATTTCTCTTGGTCTCTGGGTAGTAAGATCGGACGCTCATGTTGTTGTGCACGTTAAAAAATCCTTTAGTAGTTGAGAAATGAAAGGAGTAGCCTAACGATGCTTCGCGGGAAAAAATTGGAGTTAAAAATCGACCCAAAGTATTTCAAGATCCTCGCCGGTGCTATGAGCTCGTGCACTATGCTGAGTCTTCAGACTCAGGTTTGAGTTAGAAGTAAAACGCAACACTTATGGGTGACTATTTTTGTGCCATGATGTTAAAACCTTGTTCAAACCATCAAAATAGCATTATTATCATCTCTGTCCTGTTGTGTCATGATGTTGAAACCTTGTTCAAACTATCAAAATAGCATTATTATCATCACTGTCCTGTTGTGTCATGATGTTGAAACCTTGTTCAAACCATCAAAATAGCATTATTATCATCACTGTCCTGTTGTGTTATGATGTTGAAACCTTGTTCAAACCATCAAAATAGCATTATTATCATCACTGTCCTGTTGTGTCATGATGTTGAAACCTTGTTCAAACCATCAAAATAGCATTACCGTCATCACTGTCCTGTTGTGTCATGATATGCCCCATAGCGATAACAGTATTTATCCATTTGTTCTGTCCTGTGCAATCTTGTCTACCGTAGTTAGACATCACTGTAGCACGAATTGTACTGGACACAAACACCACCAACCTCAGTCAGCTATTACTATAGCACAATTCTATAAACAATTTAAGTCCTCTTCCCAGCCAGTCACTTCTATAGCCCATTCTAATTAAACCTACTTTAAACACCACCTGCCCCAGTCAGCTATTACTATAGCACAATTCTAAAAACAATTTACATCCTCTTCCCAGCCAGTCACTTCTATAGCCCATTCTAATTAATCCTACTTCAAACACCACCTGCCCCAGTCAGTCATTACTCCAAGCTGATTACTGTTCTCAATAACTATGTTATTTCGCTTTTGCATCTATGTA